ATGTCTGTGTTTATAAATTGCATGGATGCCTTTTAGTGCTTATTCTTTTTCATGGCTGTGTCGGGTTTCTAACTGTGGTAACAATGTCGAGATCTTATCTGTAGAACATACTATTTTGAAAACTTTATGTTTTAGATTATTATATTGCTTCTCCCCCCCCTCCTCTTTTCACATCCCTTAATGGTGGCCTCTTTCTCTACTTTTCAAATCTCTCCTCTTCTCCTCCCTCTGAAGTCATAGCTGGCTGCATTTGGAGGTGGGCTGGAGTAGAGAGAGAAAGAGAGTCTGTTTTTCCCATCTGTTGCTCCCTCCATGTGTGTGGAGGGGCCTATCTGGTCTAGTAGCTTAGGAGACTTTGCAATTTCTGAAGCTTCTTACGGCATTGCAGGGATAAAACTGCCGCACGATGCAAACCCCAGAGCTTTCTTTGGTTTATTGCACACTGAAGTTCATCTAGTAGACAATGCAATAACACAGCCGTGTCAGATAGGTTTGTAGCAATGGGGCGGCCACAGGGTACAACCATGAAAACAGCATGTATTTGAATCTGATGGACATGAAATTTCATAAAATTTCAAATGTTTGAGTTAAACCACTAAAAGACAACAAAATGTATTGGTGCAGACAACAAGCATACTAATCTATCAATACTGATACCATACATATTGATCCAGCAGCTACGTCATGTCTCCAGAAGCTAACCAAAAGAGTAGAAATTAAACTATGAAAAGTTTTCTATGAAAAGTGGGTCATACAGTCATCGACTGTATCCTAATGTAAATATAAATGATGTCATGTAAAAATAGTTATTAAATGTAAAACAAAGTTTAGCATATTTCTTTCCATTGTCTTCTGCTCACAAGCTTACCGAGTTGTGAAGGTAAATGTCATGTTTATTTTTTTATTTTTTATGTTGTGTGTAGGTAGCTAGAGACTTAAGACGAACATGGTAGAGATTTAATAATTTAATCAGAAAACGTACAGAACTTACTCAACAATACCAGGACCTGGTATATGACCTAGATGTAGATATTTTACATTATTCACATTTAACATAATAACTGACAATTTTAGGCATTGAAAACAATTTAATCATTTGTTAAAACACTAAAATGATTCAACTGTTGCCCTTCGAAGCTTACAGTGCAAAGATTTTTGCATTTTCAAAATCCGGATGGTAGGACAAAGTGTGCCCACCCCCTCATTTTGTTGTCAGCTGCATGCCTGTGCCCTGTGGGTGGAGATTTAACTCATGGAGTTGGACTCAGAGGGACAGTGACCTTTAGGAACACTGGAGAACCAAGGATCCATAAATTTAGGTCAGTCCCTCAGTTTTGAATGAATGAAGCAATTGTACAGTTTTAAAATAAATGTTTTTTCTAATGGGCATATTTAATTTTTATTCGATCATTTGCTTTTCCTTCAGCTTTCTACTTTTGCCCACCGGCATATTGTAGAGTAAATTTGCTCTTATGTAAGTTATCATATACAGCTCTGGAAAAATTGAGACGACTTTAAATTATCCGTTTCTCTGATTTTACACTTTATAGGTACATTTTTGAGTAAAATGAACATTTATTCTATGAACTATTGATAGCATGTTTATGAAATATTATTTATTTGCAGAAAATGAGAAATGGTCAAAATGACAAAAAGGTTCTATTTTATAGATAACAAGTTTATATTCATTTAGAAACAACAATACTGATGTTTTAACTCAGGAAAAATTCAGAAGTCAATATTTGGTGGAATAACCATGACATTTTCAATGGTGTTCAGTGTGATGGTCTCTTAATATAGAGTTAGGCTAACCCTAACCCTAATATACTTTTCCTGAGTTGCACTGCCACTTTAAACGAATCCCAAAGGAAATAAAGAGTTCATCAGTCTCATGAGAGAGAGCATGTGCTTCTTTGGGGACAAATATGTAAAGTTTTTACTGAATAAACTTCAGAGAAGGTTTGCGCTTCACCTTTACTTGGTGACGTGATAGAAACCTTGTAAACATTTCCATTACAAGGACAATAAATAATAAATGAACACTTGTTATCCTGCCCACTCATGCAGTTGCCCAGAATGCAACATGGTGAATAGGGTGCACAATATGGTTAGTGCGTCCTCAGTGCCTCACCTCACTAACCTGTTGTGTGCTTTGTTCAATGGAAAGAGAGAACAAAGGCAGGTTTGTTGTGTCAGAAAAAAACAACAAAAAAACATGCAAACAACTTGTACGCTAAACTTCTTCTGTTTCGTCCAGTTTTGCAGTAGCCGACCAACACATTTTTAAATGTTACCTCTTTCCGCTGCATACACACAACCATATATTCGCACAAGCATCTTTCACCTCTGACCTGCTGTAATGGCTGCTTGTGGCCCCTGTCTACCCTGCTTCAGATGTTATTGACACGGCGGAAGATTTACACCTACACACATTCGACCATGGACACGTTCAAATTCTTGTCTTCTCTTGCAATATGAGTCACTTTTTCTCTCTTTAGACCATCCGGTCAAAGTTTTACTTTTCGTCTTCAAGGGATTCGTGTGAATGAAGTTGATGTTCAAAGCAAAGCTACCAATGAATAGATAATTGATTTAAATGCTGAACTTGGAATTTCTTTCCAAGCAGGGCTGCTGTTAGTTTTTCACTTTGCTTCTTTTTCACTCTGTCTTCTTTATCACTCAAATCTGCCTTGGAGCTTCAACTACAAAAAAAAAAAAATTAATTATAGTGCTCTTAACTAAGCAATAGCATTGTGCCTCAATGGTCTCATGAAAACACATCTTAAGTTGAGTTGCCACAGTGACAGTAGACTGACTGAAGGGTGTGGTAGGACAGGTTTTCACCTGCAAAATGCCTAAAACCTCGGAGCGCTAAGCAGCGCTGGTTGTGTTTGTTTCACACTCAGAAGCCATCCAAGTTTGAAGAAAGCATTGTGAATGTTGGTTATTGAGTTTCAGTGTCTTTGATATTTACTAAAATAACACAGAAATGTCTACACCATGTTCCAAATTATTATGCAAGTGATATTTTCTCAGATTTTCCTAAATGGTCAATGCAAATGATGGTCAGTATAATTTTCAAGTCATGAACTATCATAGTGTAAATCATATTTTACTGAACAAAGCTCCCAATAAGAACAGCATGTTTTTTCAAAAAAAAATTATAATACATAATGCAAGTTATAATGCATTATGGATTATAAAGAACTGCAAATGGTCATTCTTTGAATGTGCAGCATTAAGTGGTCACATGTTGTAAAATCAAAAGCTATTTCAATCAAAAACATCTTAACAGACCGAGTTACATGTTAGCATACGACCCCTTCTTTGATATCACCTGCACAATTCTTGCATCCATTGAACTTGTGAGTTTGTGGAGAGTTTCTGCTTGAATTTCTTTGCAGGATGTCAGAAAACCTTCCCAGAGCTGCTGTTTTGATATGAACTCCATCCCGAACTCACATATTCTGCTTGAGAATAAGCTTTGTCAAATTACAACTGTACACATTTTTTTGTGTTTTAATGGGACTTTTTTGTTATAGACCAATATAATTTGAATTATGAATTGAAACAAAAAATATAACAATACAAATATAGCATAAATATAAAATAAACATATTTTTATGCATGCAAACTTGCAAGTTATTTAATGTGTTCATTTTATAGTATTTATTAGCATTGTATGTTAAATAATTAGAAAAGTTAACATAGTTGGCGTTAGTGTGAGATTAAACTCTGTGTGTTTGCCCTGGATAATATAGAAGTTTACTTGACTCCAGTATTTTAAATGATAGAGATGGAAATTTCAAAAGAATAAAATACAGAAATTTTGCAAATGATACATTATTTATTTATTTATTTATTCATTTATTTATTACAAATAATAATCTCTCAAGTATGGCATGCATTTATATCCAGCTACTCTGAGTCAAAGCTTTGTAGAACCTCCTTTTAATGCAATTACATCTAAGAATTATACTTCTACCAGTTTTGAACATCCAGAGGCTAAAGTTGATGTCAATTCTCATTTGCATAATAGCTGCAGCTCTTTCATTCTTGAAGAGGATCCAACTGCAGTTTTTATATATTACCACAGATTTTTAATTGGCTAAAAGTCTAGACTTTGAGCCTTTCTTAGAGATAAATAGGTATTGATTTAAGTCCTTACATTGAAGCTTTGCTTGTTTATTAAGGGTCATTGTCCTGTATAAAGGTCAAGCCAGTCACAAGCAGCCAATACCACATTTTTTTTTTTCCAATTTTTCCAATCTCAAGCTGTCAAATCTTTCCATCAACTCTGATCAGCTTCCCTGTCTTTACCAAAGAAAAGCCTTGGCACAGCATGGTCCGACCATTGCCGTGGGGTTGGGGGTTTTCAGCCTGAACATAGGAGTTGAGTTGATGGAAAGACTGACGCCATGTGGGTCAAATGGTTCAATTAAAGTCTCAGGTGAACAAAGCACTATTGTCTACATATACATACATATTTTTTAAAGACTTTCCAAGTCTTTAAAAAAATTTTTCTTCTTGACAGTCTTCCACAAAAGCCAGATGTTGACAATGCACAACAGATATTTGACCCTTCAACAGATTCAGATTCAACAGACAACACATGAGTTGTGGACCTTCCTCCACAGTCATAATACGTCCCTAAGCTTGGGATTTTGTGTAGTGACCTAACCCTGCTGTAGACATTATCTATGATATCAATAATGCTGTTTCTTGTAAATCACATGTTTTCCCTCAAATTCACAACTATTTACAGCTTTTTGTTGCTTTATAGTTTGTGGATGTAATTTGACAATGTTGTATTTTCTTTTTGCAATTAACTTTTTGCTTGTGCGTACTGCAATGAACAATGTTAAGCTTTAAAGCTTTAAATCTCCTCGAGCAAAAAGAAAAAAGTTTTAGACTCTTGATAAATCTACTGACGTATCAGCTGTGGCTTTGTGTCATATTTCTTTGTAGCTAACCTACATTTGTTCTCCTTATGCTCACAGGGCATTATTTACATATGAAGGGATTACCAACAAGCTCAAACTGGCCGACTCAGGAGGTAGAGTGAACTGTTAATTTGTGAAGTGATAAAAAAATAATAATAATTTTTTGTTGTGAAAGAATAAAAATGTACCTTCTTTAAACCTGTCCCTTTCCAGCGGGGGGTGTGGCAGAACTGGCAGAAAAGTTTCACATCTCTAAACCTCAATATGGACTGTGCAAAGTGGGAGGAGTGGATGGAGGAGCTCTTCGGATTGCTTTGATAAGCTGGGTGAGTTGCATTGATTATCATAAGTCAAACACTAAGACAAGTGAAAGACTCACAAATGACTTGCCCAAGAATTAACTTAGACTAACTCCCTTTAGCTTGGACAGAGTCATTCCAAAGCTCCTACATAATGCATATGCTGCACTCACAAAAAGCATACCAGTAGCTATGCTGAGAAATTTACTTGCCACTCTTGTGTTCAAGCAAAATTACCCGTTAATATTAAAACTCTAAACTTGTCGATACCGATTTAAGCTGATTCCTCTTTCACAATTGTCAAAATATTCCTTTCTGGCCTTCTGGCTATGTGCTGTCATCAACGATTTATTTATTTAACAAGCAAAGGTGACATCACATCAAGTGTGTGACAGAGCATGTGGGGTTTTGCATATTACAACAAAGACAAAATGAATTCATTTTAAAGAACATTTAGCATTCTAGCGTACTTGAATTAGTCTGGTTCGTATTGCTTACATTGTCATTATTTGCTCTCTGGAAAATGTGGAGTGTAACAAAAATGTAATTTTATGTAAGTTTTTTTGGCGTTTTGGTAATTATTATCACACAAATTAATCAAAACACTTGACAGGAGAAAAAAACTCTGATATTCAACAGCTTAGTGGGTGAGTATGCAAAACCCCAGTGGGAAAACCAAAACTGTGAACAGATTGGTACAAAGTGGGTGGATGAGATGTGAAAAGGGGAAATTGACCTTTGGGCCAGATCTGATTATTTCCTCTTTCCGCAACACATTAGTCTTTGCCCTTAATACTTATTTATAAACCATTTCTTATTTTAACTTCTAGTGTTTTCTTTTATATAGTCGATTTGTTTTCCTGGTACCTCTCATTATTTGAATGCCCACATTAATGGTGCAAGACCAACCTTTCAAACACCAAATGAATAAAGCATAATGGACGCTAATGTGCCATATAGCTAAACATAAAAAGTCTTTTGACATTATTACGAACCCTCCTGTTCCCCAGCTTGTTTCCCTCGTCTTTTTTGTCTCCTAAGAGGCTTATGACATGAATGCAATTTTGCGTATACATCCTGTGTTTGTTTCCAGGTCGGCCAAAATGTGGATGACTACAGGAAAAATGAGTGTGCCAGCCACATTACAGCCATCAAACACTTCTTCAAGGTATTCAGTCTTAAGTTATAATTAAAATTCACCACTGACATTATCAACTTGTTTTTGCCATGATTTCACTTTGCAAATACTTCCTACAGCACAGAAAATATTCAAATTCTGCTTTCCCCTTGGGCTCCACATTTCACGCTCAAAACACTATATTTATACTCAGTAGTTTACTTAGCATTGTTTTGAGAGCTTCCTGTTCTCAGTCCACTTCCTGCTCTGTTGGTGTCCTGGTGTTGTCTGTGTTCCTCCACCACCGGAAGAAGTCTTTTAAGTCTGGAGCAAAAAGCTTGTTTTTTTTGTGATGGAGCCTTAGCAAATGTACGATCTGACCGGACTCTAAAGGGATGAACTCTGCTCTTTGTTGTCTTGTGGCTTCAGTGTAAGAGATTTTTAACTGTTGCCTGGATATTTCTGGTTTCCATATTAAGGCATCTCCCCGTCAACAGCAAAGGCATCTGTGGAATGTTTGTTGTTTTTTAGAAGAACAAGGAAAATGCCTGGGATTTTGTGATCCACAAAAACGCTCCAACCCCATAGTGAAACAGTGCATGTGTGCAATTTTGAGCTTTCCTTTTTGATTTGAGATTTTTTTAAAATTATTATTACTGCAAGAAAATTACCGCATAGTTAACATGGAAAAGACTGAACAAGGTCAACCCTGCTTTTGGGAGCTGTGAGAAAAATTTGACCTCTGACCTCAGCAAATACTCACACTTGTAACAGCTGGACCAAACCCTGTGCTCACAGCTTCAAGTGCTTTAGCTGTTGTTCTTATTGAACTCCATCTGGAGAGATTTTGAATTTAAAATCAAAGAAAAATAAATCTTCACTCTTCAATGTTGGCGGTAGTTTTCAATCTAATAGAAACTGAGAGAATTACTAAATTATAAATATTTATGCAGAAACGTATATGTTCCTAACCTTTACCTGCTTTTCACTTGACTTAAAAGCTGATTTACATGAAATGCAATTTTTCAGTTTTGATACATTTTATGAACAATAAAAAGCAATGTCTTTAATCGTTTCACCTATCCATCAATGCTCAGAGCCTATCAGTGAAAATGTAATTAGCATTTAACCCTAAATAAAGTTGCTATCAACTAAACTGGTGTGACATTATGCCCACTGACACAACTTCTAAAAAATTAAGTTATTAAGAGATTTATAATTTGACCTTTGACCTAGTGGGCAGAATTTATTAAATAACAAGACTACAGTTTTTTCCTCAAAGTGTTAGAACCATAAAAACCCATCAAGAATAGTGACTTTAGAGAGTTCAAAAAGAGTACAACTGTATCGCCAGGTTTCTGGTCTGCAGTGGCCAGCGTCCATCCAATGGGGTACGAGGAGAAAATGGGGCTAAACCTGAAGCACCCAATGCACTTGCGCATAAGGAAAACAAAAGCTGCACCGTGTGGTGCGATGTAAAAGTCAAGTTGCTGTGGCTCTTACCTGCAGACCAGTCAGGGTGCCCATGCTGATTTATTGTTGCTGATTAAAGTTCACAATGTACACCGTTTTACATGAAGCATATTTCCTGATGCCTGTGGCTTCTTCCAGCAGAATAATACCACAGTACGATAAAGCAAAAATGTTTTAGGAATGCTCAAACCTATTGGTATATCTGGAATATACTGTGCAAACAATACCCCACCTCGTAACTTACACATGCCAACACTTTGGTGCCTGATACCACAGTATCCCTTCATGGGTCTAATGGAGTCCATGTTTTAATCGGCCAACACAGTATTCAGTATTCAGTGAAATGTAACAAAGTGAAAGAAGAGGAGGCTAGAGTCAGTGAGTGGTTTGAAATATTTAAAGAGCAGCTGCATGGAAGAATGACTCTTTAGTTTGGATTTCAGACTCTTTACATTTGCAGACATTTGACACAAATATAACACACTTTAAAAGAGCCATGCTGCCTCTTTAATGGATCAGCACCACTGATCGTGAGCATGGAAAATGCTACATACATGACCACGCATATACTTTTATGGCGTACACATATGTCTAGGCAATTTTCACAGGTCTAACATGAAAGAGATTATCTGAATGCTGCGAACAGCTTCTACAAAATCATAAACAGATATTGTCTCTTTCAACAGATCTGCTGCAAGGCTAAATTCTCTTCTGGCCTTGCAGTGACATGCAAACTAGACCTGGCACAAAAGTTTCATAACACACACTGATTAACGGTATAATTGAAAGCTCAGCTAATATTTCTTAGAATCTCGTCCGTCACTGTGGGAGACTTTCTTATATTTTCTTTGCGATTACTTTAATACTTCCCTCCATTTTCATTCCTCTTTTTCTCTTTACTTAGGTTTTTTGGCTATCTGTGCTGCATGTCTCGGCTGGCAGTGAATAGGTTTTGTCGAGGCGAGTCTGCAGCTGCTGATATGGTTCTGTTACAGATTGAAGTCTACAGTTGCAATGGCTTATGAAAGCTAAGACTGAATAGCGGGCAAGGATTCACATTGTCATGGATATTAGCTAAGAAAACTTGGATGAGTAAGGTTTTTGTTTGAGTCTGTGTGAAATCTATGAAGATTAGTATGTAAGAAAACAGGGATGAAAAGTTGGATTAAAAAAAACACATCTCAATGCTGTAAACAAAATATGAAGAAAGATGTTCAAGTCAAATCAATGAACCCTGAAACACTACAGCTTAAATAATCTCTTATATAATGCAGGGTTCAAACCACGTTGGTTTCAACTCTTTTTAGTTTTGATTGTAGTTCATCTAAAGATTTGTTGTAAAGCTGTTCTGTACAGTTTTGTCTTTGATAAAAGTGAATTCATATGCTTATGACACTCTTCTGATTCCAGTAAAATATACTGAAGTGTGTGGCTGTAACATCACAATATCTGGAGTAAAAAGGAAAAAAAAAAGTCTATGGGTGTGAACACTTTCACAAGACACTGTAGCTAATGCTGTGGATGTGCAATAAAATCAACTTTTGGAAGTCTATCAGTGACATTTTATAAGTCATCCATCTGCCATCTGAGACAAACTTCTACTGGGAAAAAAAAATTCATTTTTGCACGTCTACTTATGCTGCTTCTTCCACTGAGCTGAGTCGGGGAAATGCTGTGGAACAGAGTCCAAAAACCTTGTCATGTCACCTTGGACTCATTTTTTCCCCCCTCCAGACAGGTTCCAGTCACAGACCGTCATCAGTGCCACAGACCCTAAAAGATTATTTCACATCCATCATACGGTGTCACCCCATTTCAGAATTATGCAACGCACTCCTTTCTGCGTCACTACTGAAACATTTACTTTATAGTGATATCAAGATCTGTGCTTAGATCTTAAAAAAATAATGCAAAAAATGCTAAGGATTCCTCATTTCCATAGGAAAGACACTTCACCTTCTTAATTTTGTTTGTAGTTCATCTAGAGATGAACTACATCTAGTACCTTACCTTCTGCTTGAGGTCAAAGGCGTTTTACGATGTAAATGTTTGTGTGTGTGTGTTGGTGGGGGGTAGGGGGAGGGGGGGGTTTGTGGGTACGTGTGTGTGTCTCACCCTGAGCTCTCCGATGGATGACAGAAATCCCGCACCATGAGCTCTGTGCTGACCGTTCTGTCACCGAAACAGAAACTGTAGCAGTCAATGTTTTGGAGAGCAGCGCCACCCTCAGGTCACTCAATGTAACTGCAGTTCGTCAGTGGTGACCTATGCTGAACCACTGAGTCACATGACAACACACAGCCAATCAGAACAAAGTATACAGGAGTTGAGATGTGAAGGTGTTTTTGACCAAATGTTTTTGACTGGATTTAAATGAAGTCAGAACTAAAGAAATAAACTGAAACTGAACCATCGTCATCATCAAACGATTAATCAGAAGTTAACTGTGTGAATAAATACACCAAGAAGATTGATAGAAATGTTCACCTCAGGTAGGTCGCCCAAATGTCCATAAGACATTACCTAAAGTAATCCTGAGGTTCTCTTTAGTTTACATTAAATAGTCTTCATGGGATGGGTGGGACTACCAGCCCACCAGTCCCCACTCACTGTGGCCAGTTTCTGGACATCCTCATCCTCATCTGGACACACACACACCCTGGCAAGCAGTCAGGCTTATAATACAGACCGCTGGCTCATTGTTGCTAGTGGTCTGATTTTTCCGTGCTCCCTGTTCAGTGCATCAACTATAAAAACTACAAACACGTCTTTCTTTCAGAAATAATTTTGTCCTGCCAGTGCTCACCACAGAAGAAATCCTTGCAGTCCTGCTTATTAAAGAAAAAAAAAGTATAAAAAAACCCGCCAACTACATACAACTTTGGAAATCCATTTCAGTCGCTCAGTTCAATACTCCCATTCCTCACTTTCAACGTCCGTCGTGTCGCCTCAAATGATTAAGTGACTCCGTTGCAAAGGGTTAATAGTTTGAGTCAAGCAGAACTGATCTGATCGTTTCCATAGTAGCGACCAGAATCAAGACATTCCTATGGAATTACAGTGAGCTCATTGTAGTTATGACCTCATCTATGACACGTGGTTCTTGATCAAAGAACGACTGAGGTTATGAATGCTTGAGTTTCAAAACACCAGTTCATATCCAACCAGCACCTCAAAGCTCCACAAAATTTTCTCGTAAGGATTTTCAAGATGTCGGAAAAGGTTGTGTTTTGTTTTTCACTTGGTTTTGGAGTTGGATACCTCGTGACAACCGGAATGAAAAAACTGTTTGATAATGTATTTCCTGGAGAAGAAGAGGAAAGCGATAATGCTAAGGACAAGAGCACGTCATCTGGTTATGATGACTTCGACTCGTTTCTTTTTGAGCCAACCCCGATCGAGAAGCAAACTTCCCCGGCTGGGGAGGTTTGCTTTTCAGCTTATGACGAGTTCGACTCTTATCTTTTTGAGCCGACCAAGAAGCAAACCTCCCCGGCTGGGGAGGTTTGCTTCTCAGCTTATGATGAGTTCGACTCTTATCTTTTTGAGCCGACCCCGACCACGGCTTGTGATGACTTCGACTTGTTTCTGTTTGACCTGACTCCGACCGAGAAGCAAACCTCCCCGGCTGGGGGGGTTTGCTTCTTGGGAAACGACGTGTTCGTCTCTAAACTCTTTGACGTGTCCCCGACCGAAAAGCAAACCTCCCTGGCTGGGGAGGTTTGCTCCCCGGCTGGTTTGCAAACCTCCCCAGCTGGGGAGGTTTGCTTCTCGGGAAACGAGTTCGACTTTTCTCTCTTCGACGTGTCCCTGACCGAGAAGGAAACCTCCCCGGCTGGGGGGGTTTGCTTCTCGGGAAACGAGTTCGACTCTTCTCTTTGACGTGTCCCTGACCGAGAAGGAAACCTCCCCGGCTGGGGGGGTTTGCTTCTCGGGAAACGAGTTCGACTCTTCTCTCTTCGACGTGTCCCTGACCGAGAAGGAAACCTCCCCGGCTGGGGGGGTTTGCTTCTCGGGAAACAAGTTCGACTCTTCTCTCTTCGACTTGTCCCCGACCGAGAAGCAAACCTCCCCGGCTGGGGGGGTTTGCTTTTCGGGAAACGAGTTCCACTCTTCTCTCTTCGAAGTGTCCCCGACCGAGAAGCAAACCTCCCCGGCTGGGGGGGTTTGCTTCTCGGGAAACGAGTTCGACTCTTCTCTCTTCGAAGTGTCCCTGACCGAGAACGAGTTTGACCCTTCTCTGTTTCACCTGTCCCAAACAATTTTTGAGGCCGAAGACATTATCAACCAGGATGAAGAAGATGTGTTTCCTCAACAAAAAACAAAGATTTTAGAATCATTGTTGTTAATATTTTTTGGTTTGTTGTTATTTTTCACTCCAACCCTTATTATTTGTTATGGTGGGTTTTTAATGTATTTATTTGTTATATATTGTGTTTGTGGACTTGCTTATTTATGGGACCACAGACCTGTGAGACCTCAAGTTTAAATTTAGTTTCATCTGTTGCCATGTAATTCATACCGGATGTAATTCAACCTCCTGCAGGTTAAATTCAAACTTACTTGAAACCCAAAGACAACTCAATGTTGAAGCTCATCAAGACTTTCAAAGAGCCATTAACGATTCCAACGGGTGTCAACAGGAAAGATCTCCTGAAGCAGTCTGTACCACACTGAACATTTTAGAAGACATGCAAATGTCTTCAGACAGCTTATGTCAGAAGCTGTCAGAAGTTTCTGACAGTTTCAGAAGCTTTAATTATAAAGCTATAATTAATTATAAATATATAACTAATTCATATATTTAGTTATATATGAATAACATTCATATATAGTTATTTACTGAGCATCGTGAAGAAGATGGTCAGGATTGTCCATAATTTTCTTGATTCTATGATGAATCCTTGTCTGCATTACCATCTCCAGAGGTTCCACAGACATCCCCAGAACAGAACCAGAACAGAACCAGCCTTCTATACCAGCCATTTTCGGTCCCTGGGACTGTTGCTGCCCCAACAGATGACGCTCTCAACATTGGACTTCCTCCAGAAGTCCAGTCTCCTGTTGCTTGTTATAGACGCATCTCTGTTGCGACTCCAGTCCAGATGAACAATGAGGTCTTTATATTCCTCAACTTTTTCTCCCATGAAGGAAACAACCTTTGATTTAATCTTTTTCCTCATGAAATTAACAATTATCTCCTTTGGTTGTTTGGTTGTTCTGTGGTGCTCCACCTTCTTTTCTCTCTCTCTCGCTTTCTCTCTCTCAATAAATAACTATATATGGATATTTCCATATATATAATTTATCTCTGTCTCTCTCTCTCTCTTTCAATAAATAACTATATATGGATATTTCCATATATATAATCATATATACAATGAATAACTATATGTGGATATTTCCATATATATAATCATATATACAATTAATCTCATTCTCTCTCTCTCTCTTTCTCTCTCTCTCTCTCTCTCTCTCTCTCTCTCTCTCTCTCTCTCTCTCTCTCTCTCTCTATATATATATATATATATATATATATATATATATATATATATATATGTGTGTGTGTGTGTGTGTGTGTGTGTGTGTGTGTGTGTCTGAAAGTTGTAGAAAGTGCTTTGGGGTCCTCTGAATTTGATTAAGTGTTAAACAATTAGAACATAATCCAAACACACACATCATCTGTTCACAATGGATGGATGGATGGATGGATGGATGGATGGATGGATGGATGGATGGATGGATGGGTAGTTGGATGGATGGATGGATGGATGGTAGTTGGGATGATGGATGGATGGATGGATGGAGGGATGGATGGATGGATGGATGGATGGATGGATGGATGGATGGATGGATGGATGGATGGGCATCCTCATTCCATCTTGAAAATGGAACAAGTTAAATCCACCAGTACGAGACCCTTGTTCATGATTATAAGGTCATCATCTCATTATCTTCTCTTGTCAAAGATTATATCCATGTAGTGAAGTGACAAATATGAAAATATCTTTCTTTTGTCCAAGTAATATGATAACCTTTAACAGTCCCATTACTGCAAAAGAACTGTCCTCCTCTTACTGAATTACTGTAAATGAAATGTATAGCTTTGTACTCTGAGAAAATTATTATTTTTTTCTTCCCTGGCTCATATTAAAATTGATCCCTGCACAACTGCTTCACTACATCCATTTTTTTGACCATCCTTTTTCTGACTGTCAGCTCTGTGGACTCCTTGTCTGGTTCATGAGCCAAGTATGTGCAGTTGGCTTTGACAGCAAGATTGATATGGATTGCACACTATAGTGATGCTTATTATAAGGCACAATGAAAGCTCTGTTCAGTGTCAGTGTTGTCACTCAGATAAAGCTGTGCTTTCCAGTAGGAGGTTGACAGACACGGCCTTTAGGAACAAGCCTGGAATTATTCTCTGGGAAATTATTCTAAGGTCTTGGGTGCGCTCAGATGCCTGCATCCAAACAAAGGCGTGGTGATAAAACATCTAAAGGCTCTCAGTTTCAGAATGTCGAGAGATTTCTTTTCTTTTTTTTTATTCATAGTTTTTCTTTAAATATCCTGAGACTGTAGCCTTTGGGAGACAATATTAGGCACGTTACCTAATAATGATGAGTGTTTCCTCAGTGTTTCAGGGTGGGAAAAAAACAACTTTAGGGAGATTTTTTTTTTTTTTAAGGTGACAAGTTCTGAAAAAAATAAGCCAAATTAAATTTCAAAAAGCTAAAACTGGCAGAAAAAAATTGTGTCAATCCTGTCTGTTCTTAGAAAATACTACCCTCACAATTTTCTGGATATCTTCTGGCCTCGACACTTCTCATTTCCCTTCTCCCTCTTTTGGCAATCCATAAACCAAGCATCAAATTCTTGTTCTCATGCTTAGGCGATTGCTGTTTTTTCTCCCTCTCTCTCGCTGTCTGTACAGCTGAAGGAGTTGCACAACTGTTTGGCTTCAGATTTTCATAACTCAAAGTTATAACTAATATGAGACCGAGAGAAAACCACAAGAAGTACTGTGTTTGTTAACAGCATTGTGTCTATGGGTGTGTGAACACAGGCACTGCATAGCAGTATGTGAGAATGGAGTGTATTCGTATCTGTCTTACGCCTATCGTTTTTTTTCTTTTCTTTTTTCATTCCTTGTCCTCTGTGTTTCAGGAAGCACATGCTTTCATTAGTGCAGAAAAGCCAGAGGATGTGACAGAGGACAGGATAAGAGCTGAGCTGAGCAAGACTCAAACTCAGGCTCCCACACAGTGGGTGAGAAGGAGCTCCAGGTCTGCGGACAAGGAGGAACTTGTTGTGAGTCTCTTGCACTGCCTTGTTTGTCCATCAGATGGTGACAGAGTATTTCATTTATCCATGAAACGACTTTTAAGACAGAAAGTCCATTTCTACAAAAAAAAAAAAAACTTTTTACTTCCAGCTTGCTTGTCAAATTAAACCAAATCTTTTTGGTGTCACTCTCATTAATACTGTTTCATTTGTATTTCTCATTAGGGTACAAACTACAGAAAAACCAATGCTGCAATGGAGATGAGACTAATTAACAGAGACTCCTTCTGGGCACGTGCAGAAGTATGTCAAATACATGCAAAGATGGACTTTTGCTTAACATAATTTCAACAAATGCAAGATAATGAAAGAAAAACAACAAAATGTTATTTTGGTGCCATTCGTGCGTTTCAGCGTGAAGAGGAAGCGCGCAAAGATGAGGAAAAGAGAAGGGCAACAGAGGAGAGACGGCGCCTTGAAAGAGAGAGAGTTCTGAAGGAGCGAAGGGATGCAGAGGAGAGAGACAGAAAAATGAATGAAAAACTTCAGATGATTGAGGAGCAAAGGTTTGAACACTGCATGGAACGCTATACCAACACACCTTTGACAAATTTTTAATTCACTTCATCACTTCAGATTAAAACTAAAATATAATATATTGTAATATATTTTCGTATAAACATGTTTTCAATCGTTCAGTTTCTTTAGGCAATGAAGTTTTTTTTAAAGATAAGTTTGTTTACGTCTGTTCAGATGTAAATCTGACTCTTCTAAAATACTTACAAATCCACACCATTATTGTTTAATGACAGCAGGGAGAGCTGCTCTCAGTTCAAATTCTCCGTGTAAAAAACAAAAACACTAATGCCAAGTTCAAATTTCTTTAAAGATGTTACTCCGTTCATTGACATCCTCATTTAAACATAATTTATTCTTATCAAAATAAACAAAGGGCATTATAATCTGTTTAATTGCTAATAGACTTTTAACTTTCACCTGTTTCATTGACATTGTTTTTACAGACAAAAACAACGAGCAGAAGAAGAAGAGCTACGCAAGAAGGAGAAGTTACAATGGGTGAGGATAAAAAAAAAAACAAAAAAAACTTTTGCTGAGCTTTTTCTCACTTCACACACAATATACCAGTGTTATGATTTTATGCTATGATCGCAGAGGAATCACATGAAAGTTGAAAAGGGCCATAAAATGTTGATAGAGGATCTACTAAATCAAAAAGAAACAAAAATATTAATTGAAACATGCTTTCTGTAAATGTTTGCAGATAAAACAGCCAGATACATGTGTTGTTTTTCTACCAGGAGCTGCAGCAAAGAGAGCACGAAGAGGACATGAGGGCTCGTCTTAGACGCAGTGAATCCATAGAGAAAGCAGCTGTAAGTTGTTCCTACCAAATGACTGTTAAAATGACCCCTTTGTAACTGACTTTGACGGGGAATCATGTTTATTCTTAGAAGATTTGGACATCTTGCAGAACTGAAACGAGTCAGTTACGACTATAAATAGTTGAAACCAGAGGTTTACATACATTAATTAAAAAAAAAAGCACCTTTTTTTCTCACTGTCTGAAGTTAAATCAGACCAAACTTCTCATGTTTTGGTTAAGTTAGAATTACAAAATTATCTCTATTTTCTAAATCCGAGAACATATCAAGAACAATATTTTGAAATATTTTCATAACGTTGCTTGAATTCAGAAATTTATATCCACTTGCTTAAGAATCAAAGAAAATTGTTTCTATGCTATATGTAAACTTGTGATTTTGAAGACACACAAATAAATCACATACATATTTTTCTCTAAATATTGATACATTTTTGAAAGAAAACACAATTTGGTAGTAAGTCTGCCCTAAAACAAGAGAGGTTTGAGTTAATGTCAGACAGTGAGAAAAAAAATCAGTTTGTATATGTCTTGAGTTTGCGAACTTCTGGTTGGAGCTGTCCTTATTTCTGCACATTCTGGTATTTTTACTGCTGTACATTTGATGACCTGTAGGAGGCAGCAGCGTTAGTGTCGCAGCGCTCCATGAACCCCAGGGAGTTCTTCAGACAACTGTCATCATCATCATCACAGAGCCCCACCAGTCCTGGATCTTCCCGCAGTGGTAGGATTTGTTTTTTCTCTTCAAAATGAAGAATTGCTTTCTGAAACAAATCAATCTGTTTTGCACAGGATATATATATATATATATATATATATATATATATATAATATATATATATATATATATATATATAATATATATATATATATATATATATATATAAAATTTATTTATTTTATTTTATTTTTGCATGTCCAACCTGTGTTATTTTTAGAGCTGATAACTGCTTTGCTCCTCTGCAGGAAAACCATTTAGGCGATACCAGCGCAGTCTGACAGATACAGCTTTCATCTTCTCAAAAGCAGAAGAAAGCGCAGCATCTTCTCCATACACTTCTCCGTTGGTCTCCCCCTTTTCGAGAGCTCCTCACTCTCCAGTTTTCCGGGCTGTGTCACCCCCAAGAAGCCCAGATTTTTATCCGGTCACCTCCCCGCAAAAGCCCAGAGCTCCCCTGTCTCCACCCACCTCACCCATTCGGCCTGCCCCCCCAGCTTCAGCTCTGCCCAGTATTCCACGGAGTACCAACCAGTTTCAGGCCACAGCTGAGCCCGAGGCTTCAGAACCGACAGAACCGTCTGCTCCTCCTGCTTCCCCAAGTCTCTTAGATTCTTTGCCTCCAACTGTAATAGATGAAAACATCTCTCAGCTGCTTTCAGAGGCAGAGCAGCAACCTTTGAACTTTGAGCTGTCACAGTTTTTAACAAACCGTCCTGATCTGAACCCAGGTAAGGCTGAACGGCAAGCCAGGAATATATTGAACAAATTTATTGAAAGATTATATATTTATCAACCTTAAGATGCTTCTGAGCATTTACGTTTTTTAGACATGAGTGTAAGTAAAAACTCTTCTCATCCCATGCACTTGTCCCCATATTACCACATTAAAAGCGCCAATTTTGACCAGCTTCTCCATCCATGCCCAAAGAAAGCCTTCCCACGGCATTATTTTGTTACAGCCATGATTCACTGTGGGAATTGTGTTTTCAGGACAAATGTGTTTCTGGCAAACTTTATTTGGGGTAATTGTGACTTTCTTTCAACATTTCCTTTCTTCTTCTCCTTCTGCCTTCTAATTACAATTGTCCTTGCTCAGTCTGTCTGGCGTTTTGGTAGGTTTGCAGTTGTACCACACTCTTTCAATTTTTTCTCGCTCTGCTTTAAATGTCTTCACTTCATTCAGATCCTGTCTGGTATTTTTCTGGTGATTGTTTACCAATGCTTCTCAAACAAACATCCAAGGCCTTTCACAGTTCATCTGGATTTATGCTGAAATTAAAGTGCACACAGATGGACTCTGTTTTAAAATAGGTGACTTTTAAAGGCAATTGGTTGGAGTGGATGGGGTGGACATCAGATTTACAGGGTCTGAATACAAATGTGAGAGACAAGTTTTCAGCCATGTATTAATTTCCTTCTATATAAATTATTCATAGCTTAGTGTTACTCTCTTACATAAAACAAAATACGTTGAGCTTTGTGGTTGCAATGTAATGTGTAAAATATATTTCTGGAAGGCACTGCAATGCCATCAACGAGTACTTGTGATTTTTGTATTTCAATTTTAATTGTATAATTGTTCCAACTAGCAGAATTCAACACACCAAGTCTCGGAAACACCAAGCTGGTCTCAGACGCTGGCTTCAAAGTACAAGCTGTGCTGGTGGAAGCAGATGAGGAAGAGGAACTACAGGAAGGAGATGAAGCTGAAACACAACCAGAGGTGGACTCTGTCACTGCTGAACCAGAAGTGATTGAGACAAAGGAGGTAGATAAAGACGAGATGCAAGAGGTGAAGGAAGATGAGGAGGAGGAGCAAAACGAGTTGGTCAAGGAGGAAGAGCACGAAGAAGAGGGTAAGGGCAGAGAACCCGAGGAAGAGAAGGAAGAGAAGTACGAGGAGGAGGATAACAAGGAACTGGAGGAGGACGAAGAGGAGGTGCCGGTGGGATCATCACTGCCAGAACCGGCAGCGATGCCACAAGTTGAAGAGGAGGCAGAGGAAGCTGAAGAAGAGAACAATTATTCAGGGTACAGCCAGACTCTTGCTGAGCCTGCTGAGTTTTCTGAGGAAGAGGAGGAGTCAGTACGCACAGGTAGTTCTTGTCACTATCACTGACTTGTATCGTCACAGTATCCCAGATCATAAATCTGTTGAAACGTTCAAAAGCAATTGAAATGTACTCCATTTCTATTCAGATTGTTCCTATGTTGTCATCAAAGATCCTGAACCAGCTTGTCAAGACATCAAGCATGAGACCCTACTTCCATCAACCAATGGGATGACAAACGGTGATGCCACAGAGGAACAAAATGGAACAGGTTTTTTCCACGACCATATTTTTTGCAGTTTCAGCTCGGATTGAATTGTTCTAAATTAGTTTCCTCTGTATTTTCAGTGAGGTCCTTGAGTCCAACAGACACAGACGGCAGCACCTCTGAGTCTCCTGTCTGCTACAGAGTTAACACAACCATAGAAGACGGAGACATCATTGAGGATAAAGAGCATCAGATCTCTGAAAATGGACAAGAGGTGTTTATTCCCCTGACCTATATAGAATGTTATAATGCATGCAGCAACATTTACGTGTTTTCTTCAGCGATTTATTCGTCCTTACCAACTGAGAATAAAATAAAGATGGATTTCCACAATGTGTTTCTTAATGGTAGCACAACAATGTGACATAAAATCACTAAGATCAGTAGATCTTAGTAGCTTGACATGCAGCGAGGGAAATGGTTATTTTCCTAAGTCTACTGAATTTAGACTTTCAGCTATACATTAATGTAATCTGTCCATAATAATTGTTGTAAGCCTAGTTTAACAGAGAGAGATGTGACACATCTGAAAAACGGCTGAAAAACCTTTAAATAAATGTGTCAAATTCATGAGGATTTTGTAGTATTCATATACAAATAAGTACAAGACTTGATCTGCAAGCAGGAAAATAACTTGGTACTGAAATCCTTGCGAGGAGGCACTGATCAACTACATTTTTTGTGGTTGATCAGATGCTTAACAGACATCTTCAGAGAAAATTTGGTTTCAACCTCTTGATAAATATCCTCAACTGTTGTTCGACAACTCAAAGTTTGTTACCTCCACAGATTTTAAGTAATGTTAAAGGAGTTTGCACTGGGCATTCTAGGACCTTAATGTTTTTCTTGTTAAGCCACTCTTTTGTTGCTTTGGCCGTATGTATCACTGTTATGTTTGAAGACCCATCCAGGATCTGTCTTTGGAGTTCATAATGTTTCTTTCCGCCTCCATGTTTGGCAGCAGGGGAGGTAATCATGTTATAATGAACATGTGTTTACCTCCAAATGCACAAGTCAAGTTCATGTCAGGGATCTCGTTGTTGGTGTCATCTGACCACATCATACGTTCCCAAACCGTCAATGAATCATCAGGTTGCTCACTGACAAGTGCTGTTATCTTATATTTCCTTTTTCGAAATATCCCAAAAGTAATTTCCTCTTGTCCATGATGGTCAAGAGGTATGAAAGGATGACAACGATTTTAAGTCATTTATCTTTTAGAAAAAGCAGTTGAGTACTTTCTTTGTTTGCCTGATGGGCAAACACAGATGCCGGTCTGTACACGTCAGAATTCCTGTTGGTTGGTAGACACCCAATTATTCATTTCACTCCAGCAAAGGTAAATCAATTTATACCGCTTACAGAAATATTTGCACAAATTCAGCTTGGTATCATTTATTTATTTTCCTCACCAATGCTCAGGTCTGTACTTTTCAATAGCTAATGATGAATGCTGTATATCATGATTTGACCTCAGAAGTTTTAACATACCATGTCAGAAAAAAGATTCTTGAACATTTTACTGGAACATCTGTCAGTGTTCCTTGGAAGTGATGCAATTTCTCTCAAACTTATTATGCTAGTTGAACAAGAAATTCAGCATTTCATGATTACAGCCTGTACTTTTTTTTTTCCCCCATTGAATTTTCCTATCCACTGCAGGATTTAGCCGACCGACATATGTGCGTCCGAGCTCTGTATGACTACCAGGCAGGTAAGCTGCCATTTGGAGGATAATTACCGCACATGTTCGCATAAAGTGCCTCCGTTTTGCAGTAATTACACTGTGATTATCTGGTCTTCACCATGTTATCTTGTGTTTCCCACAGAGGACGAATCCGAGATCTCCTTTGAACCCGGTGACATCATCAGGGACGTGGAGACAGTGGACAAAGCCTGGTGGAGGGGGTGGAGCAAAGACGGCCGTCAGGGTTTATTCCCCGCTAATTACGTGGAAACCATATAGGCAGACAGGCACACTATACACCTATATACACACTTTCACACACACGCACACATACACTCAGGGACACCTTCTCTTCTCTTGTTTCTGCATGTTTTTCACCTTAATCCTCCCACTAAAACTTTATGCTCTCTTTTCTGTAGGAAGAATAAAGAAACATGAGACTCCTTGTTCTGAAGAAAGCATAAAGAAAAGTGTAACTCTTTATTTTGATGTTTTTTTTGGGGGGAGCACAACATAGTATGCAGAAATTACCTACCCTTATTTTGTATGGATGAAACGGTAAAGACCTTTCCCTGGACCAAAATAACTTATTTTCTTTTGAGGAGCAGTGGAAATGTAAGTCAGGGAGAGAAATAAGGGGGCGCAGATGATGGGAAACTTGGTTTGCTTCTTAGTAACACAAACATGTTTTAACTGCAGTGCTTCTTTTTGATCCCCACATATAACAAGCATACCTATGCTCACCATTCGTATCCATACACCAGGTATCATCTTTGTAATCATCATCCTGTGTCTCTTCCATTATTTTGGAGCTCTGCATTTGCTACTGATGTTCTCACATGATCACAGGTTAATTTACCATCAGCAGAAAATGATGTTGAACATCATCAATGATTCTCTCCTTTTCAGTTCTTAGGTCATATGTTTCTAAGTCCTTTGCTTATTTTAATGATATCTCTTTTTGTATGTACTCCTAACTTTCAAATATACAGACTTTATGCACTTAAACTACTTCAAAAATGTTTGTTTGTTTTTATTATTATATGTAATGCTTTCTTAAAAAAAAAACAACAACAACAAATTCCATCTGCCCTTGATCTCATCCTTTTGCATAAATTCATAAAATTTGTTATATTTTATATTCTATTATGGTCATTTTAAGCATCAACACAGTCTGTACTTCTTTACATGAATAAGAAAAAGAACATATTTTTTCTAGTGTTACAACAAATGCCATGTCTGGTATTTGGTATTTAGCATTAAGTTTCATAAAATCAACTGCAACATAAATACTTGGATAAATAATTTACTTTGGAATTTAATATGAGCTGAATTACAAACTTCACCAAACCAAAGAAGCATCAAAACAAACTCTTTTGCTAGAAACAGGATAAATAAGAATGCCTTAATAACATTGTATAATTAATACATGTCTAATTTACTGCAGACATTTGATATTTTTCTTCAAGTGTTATATTGCAGAAATACTGTATGTAATGTTTATCAATAAATATGAACACATCAATTAAACTTCTGTCACACTTTTCTATTTTGTATGGATATCTTTTAAAAATGTCTCATTCTGATCACAAAGTGAGAAAATTAAGTGTATTTTGTGAATATGAACTCTCAGTAAATGCACATTGGGATCAAAGATATGGGATTCAGTATTAAACTATGAAGCTATGATGCACTGATTTAGCCAGGACACCATCTTGTTTAGGTATTTTTACTATTTAAGGATCAATAAATTAAAATGATGTTTACATGTTATACAATTGTCTCCAAGTATTTCAGGAAGTAGCTTATGCTATCAACTTCACTTTTAGTTTTAAGCATCTGCCACCCTGATCTTCAACGGCACAAACAAAGTTTTGACTATTGTTCCTTGAGAATGTATGTTATTATTAGGCCATTGCTGCAAAGTTGTGTAAATATCATAGTAGTAGTGGGCATGTGCCGCACACGTGATGTATAACAGGTGCGCTTATACTAAGGATTTTTTTCAACATGTCCAGAAAAAGAAAAAAAAAAAAAAAAAATCTTGACAGCATGTTTTAGCTGTTTGTCTAATTATGTAGTTTACTGTGTTTAATGCATGAGCGTGAGATGCTAGAGCATCACACAGCACGTCTTCCTACACATTTAAATTCATTGCATTGTCAAAATTAAATCATTCTGCTAAAGAATAGAACATGTTTTCAATTGAAAATGTACATACAGTCAATCAACGTGTAATAACTGTCAAAGTTCTAGCAACTGCTAGAGATTGTTAGACACATTTTGTATTGATATATGATTTTTCAACATTTATTGTTTGAGATTTGAATGTCGGCACCCATTGTTTAGATTCTAAGCTGCTGAAAAACAAATGTTGTATTATATAATTATATATTATAAGAGAGGTACAGTAAAAAAAAGAAAAAAAAAAAAAAGAAAAAAGGAAATAACAAAACTTCTGACAATTAACAAATTCACAAAAAGTGACAACTCCATACAGTCAGATATAAAAACTGCAACAAAATGGCCTGGAATAAATATAGTTTTCTAATCTTGTTGATCTTTAAAGTTGAAACGTATGCTATGATGTCTAAAGAAACTGAAATAATAATAATAATAACAATCATAAAAAAACACTTGTAGTGTCAGATCCACCTGCAGCTGCCATTAGCTGTGATGTCAATGCATTGAGCTCCCACATCATTAAATAGGGACATCCAGTCTTGCTGCTGATGATCATAGACTCTCCACTACCTCTGAGAAGTCCCACTTTCTTATTTGTCACTGTAAATGAATAATAATTTTAAAAAAACTTCTTTATTAGCCTTTGTGTTGGATTCAGACCAGAACCAGCTGAGGTTTAATCAGCTGCATACCAGTTATTAACTAATTATTTTTTTTATTTTACCTTACTGCTTTTCTGTTGTTTAAAGCTGATATAATTGCAGAAGTTTTTATTGTATATAGTACTTCAGGCATAGAGTCTTGATTTTTATATTTTGGGATTTAATGTACTCTTAGACAACATATTTTATTTTAAAATAACATGAAATATGTTAACAATATGGCCAAAACAGACCAATGTGTTAATACAATGTATTTAAAGTGTTTCACTGATGAGACAAACACATGTTGGCGATAGAACAAAACTAAGTCTCACTGTGCTGAGCTTGATCTAATTCTCAGTGATAGCACACACATGTAATACTCTTCTTCTACCTGTAGGTGGAGACGTTGTCTTTTTCAATTTGCAGCTGACTTTATAGAGAGGAAGCTGCCTGATTTGAGCAGATTCCTCAGGACAAAAGGGAAAATATTTTGACAGGCAGAGAGGAGGCTCATTGTTAGACACATTTCAGGAGCAGGATATCCTGACATTCCCAAAGCTAAAAATTGCTAATGCTTCTACACCTTAAACAGGATTTTCCCCCGAGGTAATGATGATTGATTGGATATGACATTAATATTTCTTAACCGCGCACCTTTAATGCTGCCAGGGCGGCTAGGTTACGCTCCTGTAGTGCCAGTCCAATAATAGTGTTTGGCAGACGCGACTCTGTTCAGGAATAGAGAGGTAATGTTTGACATGGGTCTCATCCTGCTTGAACTGATGCCTGTTGACAGATTGACTAAATCTATCCAGGAGACTATTCTGTCAAAGTTATCCCAGAAGGTTAATCATCAGTGATATGTGTGAAAAAGTGATGGGCCTCTTATGAAATTTTAATTGGTTAGTGTGGAGAAGGCTGGCAAAACCACAAATGAGCAAGATTGATAGATTAAGAAAAAACTTGATTGAAGTTTAAAAGTAGCAGTGTAAAGAGAAAGTTCATAAATGTTAAGACAACAGAGATGATAATTGTTTATTTGCATTTGAAACTGAAAAAAAAGAGAGAGGCAAACAGTCATAACAGTATTTTCCTCCTTTCTCGTACTTTGTTGGGTATTTGTTCCCATGGTCATCCTCATAACTCAAGAGAGCCCTTGTCTCCTCTAATTAAGCAGACTGACAGAGAGGCACAAGCTAATGTGCCAGTCAACTTTCCCTTGCTTGTTCCTTTTGTCTTAAGGCTGTGTTTTCCTTCGATGACCCTCATCAGTAACAAAAACTCCTCAACTGAAGCATTGAGCCAACAGAGGAGACCACCCCCACTTTACTTTCCCCTTTATCTATTCTTTAACTGACAGACACTATCTGACCGGCGGATGGCTGACAAGTGTGGGCCGGCCGAGGTGACATGGCGGTAGGGAAGTGCCACTCATTGTGGTGTTATCAGCACAATGCCAATGACAGAAAGCTAATCTGACCTGGCTGCTGATGGCTTGTGGCTTATTGGCTGCGTTTCTGGCTCTAAAACAGATTCTGGCATTCTGCCGAGACACTTACAGGTAGGGATAAGCTGAACACACGTGCATGCACGTGGGACACACACATACATGTGCACCAAACTGCTGATGCCAACCATTCTGAGACCTTTGTTTTAGGAAACTCCTTCCTGTCATAGTCAAGCTTATCTTGCAATATTTGTGATTAAGTATCTGTTTAGTGAAGGTGTTACTTTACAAGGGACAAAAATGCTTTGGCAAGCTTATGGTTACTTTCAGCATCTGTGAGAGCTTCTGTGTTAGAGTTTTATTGAAAGTCATATAATTTAGAGACTTTAATGATGGTTTTGAAACACCTTTTGTTTGTTGATGTCAAGATGGTATGACATCAACTTACATATATATATATATTGTCAAAATTACATGAACAGACTCAAATATGTGTACAATTACACTGGTTGTTCAAATTTCCCTTGTCAACTTTTTGCAGTTGTAACAAAGGTTTTGGCATAATTCTGACTCTATCAATGAATCTTATTTATTTAAATAAACTGTAGTATAACTAACTTAAATTGGTTGGTATCCTAATGCTGCAGGACCCAGTTTTTCTGCAAAATCATCAAACCTTTAAGGTAAGGGGTATTCAAGAGTTTCAATGCTACTCTGTTTCATTATTTCCAAAACTAATTTGAATGTTTATTTGGGATCATTATCATGTTGGAACACCACATTATGTCCAGGTTTTAACCACCTGGTACCTGGAGCAGTTGCACTGTGTTCTTATGTTTGGAAGCCTTACCTTAATTCCTCAAAACATATTTCTTTTCATTGTGGCCCACCAGCTCAATTTTTGTCGAATCTTACTATCACACTTTTCTTAGGAAGGCTGGAGATGTGACCATGTGGGAAGGTGCAAATTCCTTTAAATTTGTTCTTTGGTAAGCATTTTACCCCCTTTATATTGATGAAATACTCACTTCATTGTTGATGGTGAGATTAGTGTTCCAGAATATTCCAATGTATGATGAGTTTAAGCGTTTGCGGTTCCTTGGTTTTTAATAAACATCCTGACCAATTTCCTGTCAACTGAGGTTACACTTTCGGTGAAAAATGGAAGTTTGGACACAAATGGGTGTTTCACAATCCTAAACGCACAGCAAAACTGGTTTTGGAAGGAACAAAGTGGCCTAATATTAAGCTTCTGGAATGGCCTTAACCTCAGCGTTGTTGAAAATTAATGGACTATGCTTAAATGCCGGGCCAGGAAAACAACCAATTTAAATGAGCTTTACCACTTCTGCCAAGAAGAGTGGTCAAATATCCAGTTAGGACTGATGGTAAGGGATTGATAACTACAAAAAATGTGCAGTTCCTCTGGAAGTAAGTATGTGTACCTCCGCAACTTGCTTTGTGGTGTTGCACGCAAACACACACATACATGTCTGTCTTTCTATCTTCACGCAGACTTTGCGTTGACTCCCAATCATTTTTCATTCATCTCTAATGCCTAACCCTAACCCCTAGCCAAGAACAGCACTCCTTCCTTTGGGGCCTGGGCTTTGTGCCCCATAAGAGCAGCGGGTCCTACAATGCTGGATTTGTTGGAAAAATGGCCCATGCAACGCCAAAACACATACACTTATATATATGTAACTCTCTCTCTCTCTCTTTATAGATAGATAGATAGATAGATAGATAGATAGATAGATAGATAGATAGATAGATAGATAGATAGATAGATAGATAGATAGATAGATAGATAGATAGATAGATAGATAGATAGATAGATAGATAGATAGATAGATAGATAGATAGATAGATAGATAGATAGATAGATAGATAGATAGATAGATAGATAGATAGATAGATAGATAGATAGATAGATAGATAGATAGATAGACAGACAGACTTGATTTCTGGAAAAATGATTTCGAATGATACGAAAAGCTCCGAATGAACATCGCTTGACTTGAAGTAAGCTTTTGACTGCACTGCTGCCACCAGATTTCTTTTGCTGTGCTACCTTCTCTGTTTTAGGACTGCTGTTTAGAAAGTAAAAAATCCTGCACTGAAATAAATGTATTTTTATTTTTATTTTTTTTCTGGCTCCTGCCCTCATAAGCCAACAGTTTAATGGTAGACAACACATTGTTCAGTAGACACGACTGCAGCCTATCAAAACTAAACCCAGTTCTGATGCTTGTGAGACTATTTCAAAGCAAC